ACAGAAAAGCGTGCAATAAGCGTAAATCTATTGTAACAATAAAAACCGATATTGAAACTGTGAACTTGTTATCACGTTCAACAAGTGAAAAAACGAGTGAAATAGAGAGAAAGAGAGAGAACATGTGTGTGTAAGTAAAAGAAAAAATGAGTGAGAGAGGAAAAAACAAGAGAAAACAATGAGTTGAGACAAAAATGTACCATTGCGCGATGATCAATTGTACCAGTTAATAAATGCTATGATCATGCAATTCGTTAATTGAAATTTGTTCTCTTGTGAGTGATTACTTTATGCATGTAAAAAGAAATATAAAAAAATTGATTTTAAATATTTTAATATTTTAATTAATTTAAAGGTTCCTGACTAATCGCGGCGGCCATAGTGGAATCGTTACGTCATAAGCGAGAAACGACACAGTGAAATTTATTGCACGTAACTTGCAATAGATTTGACTATAAAATAATACTTGAGATGGTTTTAAGATACTTGTGAAAATGGACGGATCCCCTTTCTCCTTCTGATAGTCAATAAATAACTGTAAAAGAAATGTAAAATAGAGCCCAGAAAAATGCATAGTTTGACAGCTGTTGGAAAAAATGCTTTTACATACAAAATTCAAAATTTTAGGTGCTGTCTATTTTTATAAATTTAGTAAGTACGAAACAAGTGAAATCTGCACTATTAAGCACATAATAACGAAATAACGAGCAATAAAAAGTTTGTCAGCACGTTATTTTTCACATTTATTAGTTCATCCTTTTGTCATAGTAAGAAGCTGTAATAAAATTCCTGCGGCTCACTCTTAGTTCCGTGCATTTTCACAAGTGTCTTAAAGAAATTTCAAATGTTTTACCCAATTATCTCTTTATTTGCAAATGCCACGTAAGAAATTTCGATATATCTTTTTCCGCTTGAGATTCAATATAATTGCGATAACTAGTCAGTCAGTAGTACAATTAGTCTTACAGTTTAGACATTACTAATTAAAGCAGCATGATAAATATTTTTTAGAAATTATTTAATTTCCAGCAACAAAAGATTAAAAGTTTATTTTATACTATACAGGGTACTATACATCAGGCTTACTCTGTACAAAATATAGAATATTTTTAAATTTAAAAAGTTATTAAATTTCTCATAAATGCAATTTGTTTTATAATTTGATAAGTCTCTTATTAAAATTTTCCTTTTGTTATGTAGTCAATTGCGTGATACCAACAATTTTGGGTATTTGATCTTGAGCCAATTCCAGTTTTAAGAATGCATCCAAATTCTGAATCTTATGTTGCGCCTTACGTAAACTCTGAAGAATTTGAATTTGAAAAAGATATCATTCTTAACTAATTATAAGATATCATTCTTAACTAATTGTAAATATATTCAACTTACCAATCGTAATTCATTGTTTATTTCAAAATTTAACTTGGCAAGTTTTTTCTTCTGCAAAAATTCTTGTACAGTGAATCCAAGAAATTCTTCTAGAATCTAAAATAATTTTAATATCTCGTTTATAAAATATCAATGAAATCAGTAAAAAATTTGATATTTTTGTCTCTTGTGACCAGAATTATCAGAAAACAAAACATAAACAAGATTTCTTTCTTTCGATGTTATAATGACTAAAGACTAAGAACTTTTAGAAATCTTTCTATTACATACCTCAGTATCGAAACAGACTTCTACACTAGACGTGTGATCCGTAATTAGTGCTGTTACTGACCAACATTTACCCTGTTTTGTTAGTGCTGAATGGCTTTTCACTTGACCTCTCACTGTTTTATATACCTTTCCAATAATAGGTTCACGTAACACATCACTCAAATCATAGATTTTGGGAATTGGTGAAGGCGCGAAAGTGTTAGAAATAATTTCAGTCTTTGGTATTTGTTGTACTGTCCTTGACGTGCACTCTTTCAACTAAAATATTAAATTAAATAAGAAAATGAAAAAAAATATATATAAAAATGAAATAATTTCGAAAATAATTTTAATTAAAAAAAATATATATATATATAAAAATGCCATTCGCAAGGAAAATATTATAAATGTTACACAACTATTTATATCATTAATTATTACCATTAGTTTTTCGCTTTGTGTCACTTGTATGGGAGTATGTTTCTCTTTTATTAGAGCATTACGATCTATTTGAGGTATTAATGGTAAAAATTCATTCTTACTTTTTGAAGGATTTTCATTTTGTTGACTGAAATATAACATGGATAAATACGATAATAAATTTGAAATATGAAAAAAAAAATACAAAGATAGGGAACCTTCGTAATTTTTTTTAATGTCGCAATCATTAAAGTGAAAATCATCATCAGGGAATTCTGAGCTTTTTTTCTTAATAGAATCTGCAGAAAGTAATGGTTTACTACGAGAATCACGTGTGAAAGTTTCTTTGATGATTATATTCTTTTTATCGACTTTCTTTGTATCTATTTGGGATGATGATGTCTGTATGAATTTCATTGGAGACTTATTTGGCCTAGAACAATTATTATATATTGATATAATGAAATTAAAAAATTATATATGGAGAAAAGTAAAACTTGTTTCCATATCAAGACAATAACACGTAATGAACTTGAAAATAAATCTTCATAACGTTAAAAATAATATTATTACCTAAATTATAAATTAAAACAAAATAAATAATAATCTTTCTTATAATTTTAATACTAACCAATTTTCTAGGGGTTCAAAGTCTATATCTTCCAAGATTTCTTCCATAATTTCATCTGTTTCTTTTCTAGTTTCTCTGTGATTGCATGCACTTTCAAAATGTCTAAAATGTTTAACAGGTTTGACTTCTTGATTTTGTCGTTCAATTGCTGTCACTGCTTCCAAATTGACAGCTTCTTCAAAATCATCATCAAAGAAATTGTCTTTGTTATTAGATATTGTATTCTGTGGATTTAGACTCGTCATCTTGGATGGTCCAATATCATTATATGGATCAAAATTTTCTATTTCTCCTCTGGACAATTAAATAAAATAGAGAGAATAAAGAAGAGATGACAACTGAAGACTTAATTGAAGAAGAGAATAATTTAAATACAAGAAAAATTAACTACTTCTTACAGAGCTCTTGCCAAGACATTTTCTAATGCATTGGGTTTTAACAAAGATTCTACTTCTCCACCTATCTCCTTATATTTGCCATCTTCTAAAAGAATAATGCCACGTCTGCAATTGATTGGACCAATTATCATCACTTTGTAGCCAGGAAGTAATGTACCCTGCAAAAGAACATTTGTAAAATTATTTTGTTTTAATTAAATAATTTGTATGAGTTATCTGATTTTAGAATTTTTGTTACAAAACATGCAATAATGAATAATTTATTACATTTATTTGTTTGAGCGGTGTATACTCTATAGCAGTGACATCCTGTACTCCATCGGTGAGACACAGTTGCATCATTCTTCTGGCTTTCTGTCGTTCTATTAATTTTTCTTCTTCCATTATTTCTAAGTTATCATTGTTAATTTTGCGAATTTCACAAAGCTGTTTATACTTGGAACTTGCTATGTCATACATCTTGTCTACCTATACTCATATCAGATGATTTACATATATAATATTTGAATTACCGAGGTAAAAGTTTATGTACCAACATAAAAGGTATATCACAAAGCTTACTTGAAGAATATAGGTATCAGTTAAAACTATGTGTGCCTGTTGTGCCAAATTCTTTGGCAAACATCCATTTTCATTACTAATCTCCCGCAAGTCACTTAACTGCCATTGGCTTTCCACAAATTCGAAAATATGTTTATCCATCAACTACAAAGACAATATAAATTACATAAATAAATATCAATATCAAATTAAAAATAATTTTAATAACTTCAATGTTATTTGATAATTAAATGATTTTCTGATTCTCCGTCTTATTTTTTTATAATAAACTTTTTTATATGCGATATAAAATTATTTCAAATATTCACATACAAAATGAAAAATTATTAAATATTTTTTAAAATATTCTCGTAATTCACTCTTATATATGATAATGTAAAAAGTATATAATATTACTTAAAAATTAAGAATTATAATAAAACATTTAAGGTCAACTTGTCTAAAAGTTTTTAATATAAAATAGTTACAACATATTATTGTTTCAACATATCAATTAACGACGATACATGAGGAATGATAAAAATAATAAATTGCAACGCACTTCTTGAGGCATCTTGTCTCTAATAAAGAATTCGACACAATCTTTTAACCATGCGTTGTTCATCACATAAAATTTCGCATTTAGCTGTCTTTTTATCCGTCTCAACAAACTTTCATTCATTTTTGCGCCCTTCCTTATTTTTTTTATATTATAGATGTCGTATCTAAAATACAACTAGTATGATGTTATTATAAATTATTCCCGAAGCATGAAACCGATGTTTGTTCTGTTCCTATACTGGTTGCACTAGGTCAAAAAGTATACACATTAAGGCTTGTTCTACAATACGTTGTATGTCGATGTCGCAAGCCACAAACTACAAGAATTGACTAATCACAGTCGAATGTGGGGAGAATACTTGATTGTGATTGGCTCAGTCTTACGGCTCACGGCCCACGACATTTTTCAAACGTCACATCCAAAAGCTCTCATTGGATATCGCTCATCACTCATCGCTCGTCGCGTTCAGTGTGCGAGAGTCATTACACTCACGTCAGTTCTGGCTTGCAGTTTAGTTCAGTTCTAGTGCGATCCTCGTGCAGGAACAGCAAATAAATCTTTTTCGAGTTCATTAATTATGGTTGTTACTAAATTGGATTAACATTGCTGTGTAAACGTAGTCTATGCTTTTCTGATTTTTGATGTTGATTGTCCATCTTGAAAAGAGGTGAAAATTACAAGTGTGAAAAAATTCATTAAAGTGACTTCATATGATAACTTCACTATCAATTAGCAATATTGTTGATATTAGTCCCCCTTGATCCCCCTTCGGGCTGTTGAACGGATCAGACTGGATGTGTTTTGTACTATACTCTAATTTTTTTTTTTTTTGTCGTCATCGCGTACTTTCCGTTATTGCTCATCACATATTTTCGGTTACGGTTCACAATTATCGTTTTTATTTTTGCGTATGACTCGTGGCTTGTGTTGGCACCGTAAAGAAGCTATTGCTATTAAAAAGGAAGAAGAGGAAGAAGGAGCAGTTTGTAATAATTTAGATCGGATTTGCTATGCCAACTGAAGGATAAAATTTTTTTCGATTTTTATAAAATTTATGTAACAAATAGCGTATTATAAATATCTTGTGGCTATTTCGTGACGAATTAATTTTTTTTCGTTGTCATTTGTAAAGAACAGCGTTGAAGCTGAGCAAATTGTCTCACCTTTGAGGTTAGAATTCCATTGTCATAACGGGGGCCGAACAGTCAGTCATGTCCGTCTCTCAGATGGAAAGTATCCTTCGAGTATCAAATTATATATAATTATATGCAATGTATCTTCTTATTGTAAAAATATTTTTCTTTTTAAATTAAATTGCAAACTATGTATCAAAGTATTTTTACAGAATATCTTTTTATTTTATCTTATAAAAATATCTATCCAAGTATTTCCAAAGGATGCTAAACATTTTATGTTTCTGAGGTTCTAAAGTATATTTTTATTACATATATTTATAAGAATTAATATTTTTGTATGACATTGTGTGAACAATTGTGAGTACAATTTAAGAGGAATAATTTTTTTATTTTTTTATATTTATTTAGTTTATAAGTATAGGGTTATAAATTCAATCTTTTACAAATTTTGCAAATGAAAACTGTTTTTCTTAATTGCAAGATAGAGAATTTATTTAATTTGAAGTTTGCGGTAAAGGAGTTGGAAAGAAATTCTAAGAAATGTGAAAAGGAGGAAAAGATAGAAAAAGCAAAAATCAAAAAAGCGATACAAAAGGGTAACATGGAAGGTGCTCGCATTCATGCAGAGAATGCAATTCGACAAAAGAATCAGGCCTTGAATTATCTCCGGATGAGTGCTAGAGTAGATGCGGTTGCTAGCAGAGTACAAACTGCATTAACCACTCGCAAAGTCACTCAATCCATGGCTGGTGTTGTCAAAGCTATGGATGCAGCTATGAAATCAATGAACCTAGAAAAAATCTCTGGACTCATGGATAAGTTCGAGAGTCAATTCGAAGATTTGGATGTGCAAAGTTCATATATGGAAAACGCCATGTCACAAACTACAACCACTAATGTACCTCAAAATGATGTAGATGCTTTAATGCAACAAGTTGCAGATGAAGCTGGGTAAGAATTTGCTTTCATTGATTATTTTGTATCCTTTTTATGATTGAATAATTTATTTTTGCACGAGTAATTTTACATTTAATTTAAAATAAAGATTTTAAATGAAAAGTTTCTAAATTATTCAAGAATTTTAAAAATTAACTAATTTTTTTCTTTGTATAGGCTGGAATTGAACATGGAACTTCCATCAGGTCAACTTGGTAGTATTGGTACTTCCACAGCAGTGAGTCAAGAGCAAGATGAATTAACACAGAGATTGGCACGACTTAGAGAATAATGAACTGCTTTAATATGTATTGCAATTCAAATGTTTTATATACATTATGTAATATATTATTTCTCATATTATGTTATGGTAAGTGTATAGAGTGTATAGTAACACATATATTTTACACAAATAACACAAATTTTAATCCTAAAAAATAGAAATTCACAATCCAAGTTAAGAAGATAAATTGTTAAATTACAAGCAGTTTAATAATTTGTATAGGCTTAATGTGCATTGATTTTTTAATAAATGGGCTAAAAATTTTGTAAATTACATTGTAGCTTAAAGATCCATGTAATATCCAATTTATAAGAAATTGGTTTCTTGTTATATATACTGCTTATATTATTTATATTGCTTATACATTTAAAAATTCCAATTAAAGTATCAATTTTATAATTTTCATGAACATTAGTTAAAATAAATGATTATTTAATCAGTATCTCTGTTTTTTTTTCTTAGAAAAGGATTAATTAAAATTAATTTTAATAAAAATATTGAAGTTTTTATGTAATTTAATTGCAAAATAAATTTCGTAAAATGTGATAGCCAGATGTATATTATATCAATATTTGCTATTTCCATAACTTGAAGATTATTTTAAAGTTAAAATAAAATAATTTCGAGTCAAAATTAAACTCAATGAAATTAGAAAAAATATAAGTATGATTATAGATAGAGCAATTTATTATAATTTTCTTAGCTTCAAAAATGTTACAGAAAACAATTATATTTCAATATATATTTGTAAATAAGTAATCATATTATTATTATATAATTTGACGAATACTATGCAATATAATATTTTATTTCCTTTTCTGTATTAAAGTATTGCTATTTTTGTAGAAAACTTTGTAACACAATTAATAGGTTATTATAAATATGTACAAGTATATATTTGTAAAAATAAATAACGTATAATAATATAACAAATATACAAGGTGATTCATCTTAACAGGCAATATTTCGAAAAGTATAAAGATATTTCAGATAAAAACATTTCAGAAAAACATTTCAGATAAAAGTTTTATAACTTCAGGGAGACATGAGATGATATCATTAGTTTGATCTTGGATAATTGTTTGAAAATTACGTGAAGATCACTTCCAATTCCTTAAATGAAAACTCGCTTTTCATTATATATTCATTATATATGTAGCTTATCTCGTAAGGTTTTGAGAACACTATAATAAAGTTGTTTTTCATTAAGTATTTTTGAGTTATGAGGCTTGAATTTAACATACAATTTAACATAAAGTATAAAATATCTCATAAACTATTTTTTGGCAACTATACCTTTATAGCAATACTTTTATGCATAGAATAATGAGATGAATCAATTGGTGTAAAGAAGAAACATTATTGTTTTTCAGAAAGAATACATCATTGCAAATCTCCATTTCTTTTTGAAAAACAACCATGTATTTTTATTTTACAATTGATCTCATTATTTTGTACAAGAGTATTAAGATATAGTTGCCAAAAAAATAAATTGTTTACGAGATATTTTATACATGTCAAATTATATGTCAACCTCATAACTCGGAAAATACTGAGAAAAATACATTATTATAGTGTTTTAAAAAGCTCTTGAGGTCAGCTATAAGAATATGTAATAAAAAATAGAGTTTCCACTAAAAAAAAAAAAAAAAACAAAAAAAAACAAAAAAACCAAAGTTGGCCTACATATGACGTCGCATGCATAGCTAAAGTTAAATAGGTCCAATGATACTATTTCATGTTCTTGAAATCGTAAAATTTTTGTACGAAATATTTTTCGATGCGTATTAAGCTTGTTGCTCACAGAACGCATCATGCGTTACGTACGACGGAAGTTGGTGACAATAGCTAATCATAATTTCGCTCTTGTAAAAAAATAATAAATTGATTAGCTATTGCCGCCAACTTTTGCCGCACGTACTATGAATATCGGCTTAAGGTAACATTTCAACCATTAGGATAGTTGTATGAGCTTATTTAAAACGAAATACATATAAATACATAAAAACTGACTATAAATACTAAAGCCTCGATTGCACCAACATTATTTTGAATTTTAAGTGATATTTAATATGTAATATGTGTCACGTATATTATGTATTAAGTCTCGCTTAAAGCTCAAATAATATTGGTGCAACCGGGTCTAATGCCTTGTGTCCACGATGTTAGAAATCGATCCGAGATCTCGGATGGAAAGAGAATTGACCAATTGCATTTGAATAATTTGACAATTAACCAATGCGATTGGTCAATTCTCTTTCCATTCGAGATCTCGGACCGATTTCTAGCATCGTGGACACAAGGCATAAGATCTGTACAAATCCGCATCATGAAACATATATTGGTGATATTATGATCGTACCCCATAGTACGATGGTTGGTAACATTGAGCAAACAATTCGACTAGGCGGATTTTTAAAAATCTTTATATCTACATAATGGTAGTGCGATATTAGTTCTTCGCAGTTCTTCGCTAGTCGCGTTGAGAAACGCTTCGCTACAATTGACGTATTTGCTACGTATTTCTATGAAATACGCTAGAGTAAGTAAAGTGATATATTATGTCCTTTATCCTCTTTCTCTCTCTTTTCGCGCTGAAACAGGATCGAACTTACCGTGATATCGATAGAATCGTTATTATTCCTTTCTCAATCGAATATGTTTCTTTTATACAATTCTTATATGGATAAAGAAGCGCGAATAAAGGATTACTTCGTCTGATTGCTATAATTATGATCTTATTGCTATAGCGTGCTTGTTCTTCATTTTTGCATTGATCTCTTTTGTTCAATTGT